ACATAAAGTAGCCAACTTGGAGAGCGGCCAGTAGACAGAGAACGCTGCAGACAATTAGGACAGGAGGGAGGGAACAGCTGATAGAATCCTCCTCATCGCCATTCATCAGTTTCATCAAAGGCCCCTCACAAAGCTCCCGAAATCCCCACTCCTATCCCCAACTCCAATAGATTTCTCCCTTTTCCACCTTTCCCCTCCAATTTCCCCAATTTCCTCGAGCCGACCCCTCCCTGCCGGGGCTTTAAATGAAAATATTATGCAGGTCTGTCTCAGCCATTGCCTCATTTTTCCTTTTCTTTTCCATTTAGCCTCCTTTCCTTTTGTATTCTGTTATTTGGCCTCGATCAATGATTCAATTCTAATACCGTCTTTCCTTCCATTCATAGGTTTTTATTTAAATTTGTATATGCACATTTCTACAGAGTATTATGCATACAAATCTCAAAAGGGATGAAGTTAAATCGGGAACTGATATTAGTGAGATTTTGAAAAATAGTATGAACATGAAAAAAAAAAATATTGTTCTTAAAAAAAAACCAAACTATAAAAGTTGTTTTCCGTCAAGATATTTGGTATCGTCTTAATGTTTTGTAATATATAAATATGTATATATACATACAATTTTTTTTTTTTTTTTTTTTTCGGTTGGCGCTACAGACCATGCAGATTTTTTACCGCGAGGTGTGGTCGCCTAGACCACATCCTGATTCCTAATTTAACTACACGAGGGGTAGGGTCATCAGTCCTACGCCCGGTCGGTGTGAGTTGCCTCCGGTAGACTGACGGGCCTTACATACCCCGGGGAAGGGGGGAACCGGCTTTCCCTGGTGAATAATTTCATGACCTATTATCCGACTATAATTCATATCCTAAATTACAATATATAAAAGTCGAATTATAAAAAAAAAACATTGTAATATATATATATTTCTTGAATACCGTACATAGCAGAAAGTAGAGGTTATTTTTCAAAATATTTTTCGAGCATCGACCCACTACTAATACTACAGGAAGACTCAGAATGCCGTTTCTCTCGCAAGGAGTACCTAATTAATATAATCTATAATATAAGGCATATGTGGTAGGAACGAGTGTTGAAAATGTTAAGATCCTGGAAATCGAAATGAAATACATACTGAAATATAAAGAGCTCCCTTCGGGCAAGAAAATTTACTTTTGAATCTAATTTTCACATTCAGCTACTCACGATCTTATAAACGGTATCTGCACTTATTGCGGAATTGTTCTTAACCTGCCATTAATGAATTCACTACGATTTTTGAAAGACCAACGAAATTTTTGTTTCCAGATGATGATCTCCTCTTTACCCATAGCAGATAAATTAATTTCGTTCAGAAATGCTAGAAAAAAAGGAGAGGAAGTGATCGAAAAGTAGCGGTTCCGTTATCTCTGCATCGAAAACTCAGGCAATGAATATATTTCGGTTTAGCGGATCAACTCACTCTAATTATAGACGGCAACAAATAACACATCGTAAAGTATGAGCGAATATACTTAGTAAGAATAAACTTTAATTTTTAATATTTTCTGTCAAACAACCATCTTCGTCCCCCCCTCCATCCATATCCGTTGGGACCTCCATCTCAGTTATAGGGCAAATTCCGATAATCCTTATTTCAAAGGATATTAATCGTTAAAGGAAAGCACTAACGCTTGACTTTTTACTTCAAAGCAAAGTAACTAAATATTTTTTATAATTAAATACAACTTAGATACAATACTTTTATTTAGTATAATATATCAAGTTAATAATAATATCACATGATCCTACAGAAAAATACGACAGAAATGCAACTACCAAATCCTTTGACGGCAGAGAAATCCAGGTAAAGCAGAATTATGCCTCGTTTGGGGAGCTCCTGAGGCCTCCTTTCCAAAAGCTTTGTGTAAGATCATCATTATGCAGAACATGTAGGCCGCATTTTTCCGGCGCCTTTCCGAATTTTCCAAGAATATTCACCTTTTCCATTATTTTCACTAAAGACAACCACATGCCTGCACAAGCTGCCTTTGTTGTTTAACAATGAGGCCTCATTATAACCGATAATATGACTCTTTCTTAACAGAAACCATTATTAATCATGTTATACTCCGCTCTAATTTCCCTTTAAAAATGTTAGCAATGTCTAAGCAGAATCGGGTATTTTATACAATAAGAACATCAATCAGTTTCTTTTTAGGTTACACAATGATATTTACAATATATCATATAATAAAAAATACATATGTACAGGTTATTGAAACATATCCCGAATATATTCTTTCAAAAACAACAACATTATGATAATTATACGTCCAGACGATCTAGCATAAAAATGTTTCCGCCTGTGTACACGAGTGGATCCCTCACTCCTAATGTGTCTTATTAATCGGCACCACGTTGACTCAACTGTTTGAATGTATGTTATTTGAATGGTCATCAGTACACATTAAATATACGACAGAATACTTCTTCATGTAGAGTAATTTAAGTTGGGGTAACTTTGGGAAGGCTACACATACACACTGTGGATACATTGTGTTGGTTCAGTCAGCCTGGGATTGTACTGCTACTACCTTGCTGCACACTATTCTTGAGGCAAAACCGAAAGTTTCATGAAAACAAGCATTTTGAATAAAAGCAATAGAAAAAAATAAAACCTAACTGCATATCGATTGTAGTGAACTAGGGTTCCCAAACTGCCGCAAGGTAGTAGCGCAGTACATGCCTACACAAAGCACATTTTTGCAGACTGAACCAACACAGTGTATCCACCACGGAATCACCACAAACTAAATTTTACCAGCTGTCCCAAAGTTACTCCATCTTACGGTACCTTTTGTTATTAAAAAGATCAAGCAAGTTTTTCATGTTTTAATTTTCATATAGGTCAAGAATATATATTTTTACTGAAAAGTAATTGGTGTACATATTTCATTAATTTCCTTTAGGATCTTCAACACAATCGTTAGACTTTAATACTGAATAACTAATAATGATTCGAATTCCACATATGAAACGGGATATTCTTGTTGATGTTAAGATAATTCAATTCAGGTATCTGTTCATTTCAATCCCATTGCGAATAGATGGGCTATGCGGATTGAGAAACCACAATAAATGATTGGATCCTTCTTTAGATACGTTAGTATTCAGTGAGGGAGATACATTTTTTTTAAATTCACTTTAAATAGAAATTTATTTCCAATTCATTTCTATATTATTGATTATAGATGTTATTTCCTATATACCATACGTTCTACTCAAGATATATACATAATTAGAAATTATCTTGAAAAACTAGAAAATATCGTGTGAGTACAGAATAAACTGGACAAAGTTATTTAGGTAGATATTAGAAACTAATACGATTATGTTATCAGCTATTTCTTCGTACATTATTCCTTCTTCTTGAGTTCGAAATAAACACAAAAGAGTTGAATATTGAAAGCGCAGATCTTAATAAATAACCCAATAATTTTTCCGCCAAAACGGCTGCTACAATTTTAATGAAACTTGGCAAATCTTCTCCTAGAATCCCTTTTAATTTAAGTATACATCATATCACCGTAAAAGAGGCTGAAGAAAAAAAGAAGGAGATGGATTCTTATTGCAACTCCGCCATAGTCGGTCCCAAGCTCTGGTTGAGAAAGGAGTGTTGGATCCTTAGAGGTACGTAAAACCCATAGTGCTGGTGAGGCACAATACCATGGTAAGGAAACACCCATGGGAACAAAAACTTCTAAAGAATAACCGCCGAAGCCGAAGACGTGATGTCACGCACTTCTTCTATAATGCGGTTGCTATGAATGGGCGAGATGGATAGATTTGCTAATAACTCAGAAAGCACACAATTTTGGATCATTAAATCAATTAAGTATTTGAAAGCTTCCTAAATTTCTTGTAAAATGAAAGATCTGGTGTGTCCACTCGCAAGACTTTCCTGCCTATTTCAGACGTTTTTATATCTTTACATATGGTCCATCAAGAAATAAAAACAAATTGAATTAGATTGATTTATTTTCCTGAAAATCGATCAAAGAAAAGATTTGAGTACAATTTATTCGATAAACTAAAGCAATGTAAACCGGTTTAAGGTAAATCAGTGTAAACATTTCAATACCCTGCTGTTTCTGTTAAAAGTATAAATAGTGAAGCTTGTGTGATGCGGGCAACAGATGTTTTTGCTTTCACTTAGTTATCTTTTTTTCTCTCATTCAGCCCTTTTTGACACCAAGATATGAACCCATAATCTTACATTGGAAATTGAATAACTGTAACTTCGTTAGTAATTGTCCGAAATAACCATTTCATTACCTTTCAAAATGCTCTGAAACGTATAGATCCGTCAAAAACCGCATACCGGAAATTTGATCCCATTGCAATATTTTTCTTACCTAGTATAGGTAGGAAAGTAAAAAAGGAAAAACAAATTATCGAAATCGAAAAGAATCATCTCTGAAAAGACATTTTCATAGTACTTTTTAGACTTTCTTCGGTTTATATTTTTTTGGAAGAGTTCTATTCAAACTAATTTATGTTATTTATGAGACATAGCTATAATATAAATACAATATTAAAATGAAACAAGTTGTACCGACCGAAGGAGCAAAGTGGTTTCAATTTTTTTTTTTAAGGAGAACCCAAATTTAGATTGGTGTTTCGTACCTGAAAAAACCTCAAATACAAATTTTCATGGAGATCGAAACATTTTTTTTCTAAGAACATTCACGGAGTAAAGTCCAAATGGGTCCAATTTTTTAAATTCCAATGGATTCTAATTTTTATTTTCCTATAACTCAAAGAGTACTTCATCGTTTTCTTTTGTAAGTACATATAAAATTTAATGTACGAACATATGCGAAAATAACATAAAAAATAATGTTGGAAACATGCAAATTCATTTATGTTTTCCTTAAATGTTCGATAATAATTTTGGTCGAATTTCAATCATTTGGCGAACACAAACATTAATTAAATAGGATATTATTATATTAACATGTATAAAGTTATATTCCATAAATCTCACTTTGATGTCCTTCAAACCATTCAGGTTAGAACTCCCCCATTCCCCATAACCCTCTCTGCCTCGATACGAAGAGGCTTTGACCCGACTAGGAAGGTAATCCTAAATGGAGCAGAGGTATTTAAGGCCAATAAATACGAAGACAGGGAGCCATCATTAGTAAAGCCATCACTCATTGAGGAGGAAGCCGGCCCACTAACGACTACCCGACTATCATTACAGGCCCTGCTATTGAGAGGTCTGCAAAGGGACACTATCCCTCCCCCATTCCTCTGCAAGTCTTCCCTCAAGCGGATTTACACTAAGCATCCTGGATTTATATAAATTATCCTTCCATTCCAATATCTTCCGGTAATTTTAAACTGTACTTAATACTCATATGTTATAAAGTCAAATTAAAAGATAAACTCTTCTAACATATACTTAAAATTATTTTGTTTAAAACTTTTTTCATTCATACCACATCCCTCTTTAACAACAAACAATAATTTTGAAATAACAAAAAAAATAGCTATATTTTGGGTTATATTTAAAAAATCCTGTATATTATTTCTAATAGGTGTTTTTTTTTGTCGGTACGCCATAACTTCGTCAATTCTTCATCAAATCCAATTGACTACTCAAATCAATGATTGACTACTTATTTTGTAGATATTCTTCGACTTCACATGCGAAAAATAGTCCTATCCCTCCTCCCTTCCCCCGAAATTTCTGGGAAAAACGTTGTGAAGGAGAAGAAACTTTATTTTCGAATAACTCAAAAAGTATGCATTTTTTCTGGATTGTACCCATGATAAGTAGAAAGATTACTAAATTAACTACAAAAAAAAACGGACAATTATAGATAGTTCTCCACTATTTTTACTTCATGTTTATTTTCAATTTTTTATTTTTTATTATTAACTGATTTAAATTAGAAAGTAACTTATAATTTCTTTTGTTATTTCTTTCTTTTGACTATTTAATTAAACTATATTCTTGTTTATGTATCTCTGAAGCTCCTTAGCCCACATTTTTGTCTTTCTTTATTATTCTAAAGTTACTCGTCCCAGAATAAATAAAACATTATTATTAACAATGATACAGTACATTAGTTTTGGTATACTTAATAATGTCTTCCGGTTTAAAAGTATTGGCGTTTAGGAGTAGAATAGTCAACTACAATTTTTTTTCAAACTCATATATTAACTTTATTATTTCTTAAAGACATTTGGTTGTTCTTACATTTTATTCTTTTTAATAATTTAGAAAATCACATGGTCGGGGCATTATTTTGTCTTTATTACTTTTATTATCTTTCCAGCCAGCGTTTAAAAATAGGTCCTAGCAAAGCAATTTGAACAAATATTTTGGTCTATTATGTTTAATGGAATATTGTAATCGACCAAGGAAACAATATTAATTCCTTCCTTACATAATACATAGGAACTACTTATTTCAGTATTGTTTTGCTATTTCTTCACTAAACAAAATTTTATGCGAATTATTCCACAAAATGGATTTTGAAATTAGTTTAAGCAAACAATATTAAATTAAATGAGACAATAGTAAATAAAACTTATAACTTATAAACTTAGATGAAATTCATAGAATTTGAGAGATATCTAAGGTTTATTTCTAATAATACAATTAATTTTATTTCCGAAAAATATTAATTAATTTCATATGGCTACACAAAACTGACCTGACCTTAAAATTCAGACAGTTTTGTTCCGGCAAGAACGGCATGAAAGGAACTAAGAATTTCAAGGAGGTGCTTTCTAATTAAAATTATATAGAAGAGAGAACCAAGTTATCCCAAACACAAAACAACCTGCTCCAAGCATCAAATTCGCTTAATGAAGTCTAGTTGGGTTCTCAAATAAACAAACCACCCATACCGTGTTTACTGATCAGAGTTCACTAGCTAAAAGGAGTTCATTAAAAATTCTCATGGAAGTTGTAGATATGAGTTGGGAAATATGAATCCAGGCCTAACGAATCGGGAATACCGGGTTCCAATATTCATGAAAGAAATGAAGACGGAGGCAGAAGTTTATAACAATGCCCTGAGCTGAACAAACCATATCGGGCTAATAAACCACGTCGAAGCTGGAGGTAAAAGATGTACAAACAGCGCTATCTCGGTGTGTACAGTTCGTTAGGATTTGGAGGAGGAGCCAAAGTCAACAGTGTGGTCCATCTCTTCTTGGACCGCCTCCGAAATACTTAAGGGAATATTGAAAAAATGCAAGCTAGTTAAAATCGTAAAGCAAATATGTATTTATTCGTTGTTAAATCGTAATAAGAAATATACTTGAAAATCATTGGGTAACTATAAATAGTGTGTTATTGCTATTATACGTGAAAACGTTGCTGTAATATTCCAGGAATATAAAATCGTTAAATACGTATTTTCAGTTTCGTAAGCCTTTTTTTTTTGTGCTGATCTGTTCATGTGCACACAGACCATTTCACGAGACCTTGTAATTTGGACTCAGGCGACTTCAAAACGTATAATTTCGTTGAAAATAGGGATTCGTATTTTTTTTCAGAATCGCAATACTTTGTCTTATTATATAAAGTTTTTACAATATATTAGGCCAAAAGTCACAGTTTGACTTACATTACATTATAGTATATTACCCAATGTACACAGTTTTTACATCAGTCATGTAAAATCATGTATGAATGTGTTAGTGAGGAGGAACATTTTTAATATCGTCTTCGAAAGAGAAGTGATAAAACCACATTCGATGAAATAAAAGAATGACAAAAATACTTATATTATAATGATACATTTTAAAAAATTTTATAAAGCGGAGCATGTTTGCAGGATCTTGAAAATGGCTCCTGAAGCCGAAAGGTCGAATAAATAATACACGATGTAAAAACTGTGTACATTTGGTGACCTTTGGCCTAATAGTTTATAAAAACTTTTTAAAAAATTGGCACGGAACCTAAAAGACATAGTCTTATTATGTATTTTATGTATAGGTATATGAGAGTAAAAGTAAAGCACACCATTCTCAATAAATTTGACTCATTTCGGAATCAATTATTACGCGCCCTCCGAAATTCGTTGATCGAGGGCCCTCAGAGCGAAATGCATTCGAGCCTGATTCATCACCTATAAATATTTTAAACAAAACCTGTTGAAAACGTGCTCACCCCTCTCTCACGCTGTTCACATTACTCATATATCTTCGAATGATATTTATAATGATGTAGTTATTATTTTTAATAATAATGTATATAATTATTACTACTGTTATAGATATATTATAACTAAAATTATAAAGATATAAATTATTATTTTTTATGAATCATATATTTTATGTGCACCTGTAAAATATTACAATCCACAAATGCGGTGACCAAGCGATGCATACTCCTGAAATTCAGCTAAATTTTATTATTACACTAGGAGGTCCCTCATCCAATTCCTTCTTAACATACGCCGAGGTACATCAGAAATGTCACTAGTTGCTATTTGTTGTATGAATTTGTTTATGCGTCCATGTAATTTGCCGTGAAACCGTTTGTAATTCATACTAATGTGTATTGTTGCAGACGGAACGCATAAGACAGTGTGAAGAATCTCGTTCGAAATATAGAGTAGTGAGTTCGTTATTAGTCTTAAAAATTGAAATTGGAACATTTGTATTTTCTGAGCGTGTCTTTTTTGCAGGTCCATACATTTGGCAAGCGTAGGTCCATATGATTTTCAGTAAATAAGTATAAACGTTACGTTTTTGTCTGATGGGTAATTTAGAAGGCCTGTGTAGCATGGAATATAATAATCTCAAGCGGAATTTAGTTTTGCGTTTTGTCTTACATGGTCAAGACAAAACGTGTCTTGACCATGTCAGCCTTCTGTAAAAAAAAAGACCCAAGTACGTTACTGTGTTTGTTTATACAATCGGATGATTGTCAAGTAACGGGTCTGTGTTTCTCGTAATAATAGCAGTATCAAATACATTATAAGTTCGTTATAAATATTTTTTTTTAATTGATCTAAGTTAGAAGGTAATTTATACTTTTTTTTTTTCATTGTATCCATCTATTAATTTTATTATTTTTCTCTGAGGCTCCAAAGCCTCCATTTGTATTTCTGTATATTATTCTAAAAGGACTTGTCCCAGAATAAATAAAGCATTATTATTACAAACTTCTAAATTGTTCAATCCTGGTCAATTCTACTTCATTCTAATCCCATTTTGTCATTACGACCTTTACTTAGATTCTCATTTAATTATTTATTTTATTTAAGTCAATATAATGATATCTAGATGTATAATGAAGGTACTTAATACTCAGTATTTATCAGTAGATGTAAGAATATCAAAATATATAAAGGACCATTCGGACAACACACTACTCCTTCCGGTCAACTATCTTGATGGCCAAGGAAATGACAGACATAAATACTCCACTAAAATCGCATGCCGGATGCAGGCCATCGAAGAACGATCAACCGTAGGCCTCGCTTGGAATAGACTGACACAGGAATAAACCTTCGCTGTAGCTCCAGGCTCAAGTGGGGACCTCTAAATATAGCGAAGGCTCATCGGGAAGTTGTAGGAAATTCTGTATCTTTGACAGAATAGTTTAACGATTAACTGGTTTATGTAGAAATTCTATTACTATACCCTATTTGTAAATAGGTAATATGATGTAGGATATTCCCTTATAAATAATCTGTATACAGAAAGAAAACTACAAGATACATGGTATAATAAACAACGACGTAACATAAAATAAAACAATCTATCTATAATTTCTTAATTCTAATTTATATGGATATGTATATATTTATAATTTAATATTTCATAGATATAGTATTTTTTCCCTTGTATCCATCTATTTCTTCAAATTTTAGATACTGTAACTTTAGGTTTTTTCCCTATTACCCAAATAAGTCAGCTAATTCCCGAATACCTGCCCTTACCATGGCTTTCCAGTTTTAAGTGAAACTCCTAGCTGTAAGTCCTTAATTTTATTTACTTCTTAATTTAATTTTTTGGTTTTCTATTTTATTTTATTTCTCCACATTCCTTGATGTCTATTATTTCATAATATATACTTTTTCCTTTTCTTTCAATATCTCCTGTAGATCTGTAGAAGTATATTCACATTTGCGTATATTATATATTACACTACAAAAAGTGTTATCATCTATTTAGTTCAGTTTAGGATCTTGTTACCTAGCTTACGCTGTTTATATTTTGATGTACTTTCTGTTTATAATTTTAATAAGGTTATTCACATTGTTTATAATTTTTTGTCAAAATATTATGTAACTTCCACGATTCGCTATCTTTTTGTATCTTGTCCGATCTAGC